ACTGAATAAAAACAATATTGGTCATTTTTGATTATTTATTTATATTGATTAATTAGATATTAATACTGATTATTATTATTGGTTATTTTGCAGGAGCCGAACTATTTGCAAAACGTCGTAAACGATCAGAGAAGTGGGTGGTTGGAGAAACCGAAGGAACAAACACAGCTGTCCCAAAAGACATAATAACTCCACCACCGCGTCCTCTCACAAATCCACTGACACCTATCAACAATTTACCAACACCTACCTACACACCAGAATCTGCACAAAGGGCACAACACAATCAAGAACTTGACAAGATTCAAGTAAGCGATAACGAAATAAAGAGCTTCAGCTAAATGTCATTATTATCAAAAAGAAAAAGAAATTTAGAGAACTTTACTAAATTAAATTCACATTAGGTATATTGTCCGTTCACTTAGAGAAAGTTACAGCGTGAGCGATGCGCATAAACGAAAGCTGTAACTGTAGGCGAGTCACCAGAATATGGCACCGGCCATGGGTTTACCTTCAGATGCTTCCTTTCAAAGCCCAACCGTGAGCTTCTGACGCCGTTAATAATTTCTAACAGTTACTATCATTAAGGCAGTCCGAGTACATCGAATTGGCATCGTGAACTTTTCTCTAAGTGAACGGACTCTATCTGTTTTTATAACCTTGAAATTTTGATACTCTAGACTCGGAAAGCTCATAACACTTGAAAACATAGTTTCTTATGAAATATTATACTGAAAATTCAATTTCTGGATTTTACCCACTACACGCTACCTCAAATTAATGAAGGAAAAATTGTTGCTGTTGTCACACCCTCGCCGGGAATCGAACCCGGGACCTTTGGCTTCACGCACCAATGTTCTGTCGAACGGATCGTTAACCTTGTAGGTCGGTTGGTCGTGGTTGCTGTTGTAGTTTAGTGGTCAGAACATTGGTGCGTAAAGTCAAAGGCCCCGGGTTCGATTCCCGGCGAGGGTGTGACAACAGCAACAATTTTTCCTTCATTAATTTGAGGTAGCGTGTGTTGGGTAAAAAATTCAGAAATTGAAATTTCAGTGTAATATTTCATATTAAACTAACTCACTTCTAAAATGATGTCTAAATTGTATGTATGTTTAAACAGAGTTTCTTTTTACGAAAAAGTCTAAATTTTGCAGAACTCGTAAAATTTATTCAGATTGCATCATCTTTGACTGACATAATGCCTAATGTAAGATACCAAAGCAGATTTCTTTGCAATTATTATAGGAAAGGTTTATTCGTCCAAAAATAAAACTGGTAAAATCGCCCTGGGAGGCAGCTTTAGAAACAGGCTCCGTGGACGCAGCTTTCGTTGAGGAACCCGTCTGGCCTACCAAAGGTAACATCGTGGCTCCGACGGTCGATTCCTACGAGCAAGCTTTGAAAGCTAACGCTCTGGAGACATGGAAAGGTGCACCACGTTCTGAGATGCATTCGAACAGAAGTTACACGCCAAATCCCGCCTACAATAGCACCAGCATCAACAAACTGGTTGACAATTACCAAAAAGGAGTCAGTAACGTTGACGTTTACAAACCCAAATTGCCTCAAGCTTGGAACGCAAAAGGACCCGGACAAACTCAACAATTTAGTAAGTAGTTTTAACTCAAGAATGCCTAGTAGAAAGTGTATTTAGGATGAATAATTTGATATGAGATAATGATACATCCAGAATGGATCTCGCTGTTTGAAAACAATTTTGGACAAAGTTCTATGCTTTCGATTGTCTTTTTACTTGAAGTATCATCAATTGTCTTGTACCTCTTTCTTCCTATCTTTACTTTTCTTTTATAAAAGTATTTAAAAATCAACATTAAGGACTTTTACTACATTTAATGGCTTTAAAAAGACTTACCATTTTATTTTGACGCTTTTGCTTCATCGCTTTCTTCTCATACAGGAAGTGTTAGTCCAGCTTTCGCTGCAGACGCTGCTAAACAGGAAGAAGTAAGACCAACATCTCCTTTCCCAACTATTCCCGACATATCTGCTGATCCCAGCATAATCTTAGATGCCATTTTAGACATAAAATCCAATAAACCTGTTTCCCCTTTACCAACAAGGCCGGTATCTCCGATTCCTGAAACAAAAAACGAAGCTGAAGTTGAAACAACAAAAGCTTCTACTGAAAATACTGACGAATCAGTAAAATTTGTGTCTCCAGTACCTAATATTATAATTGAAGATGAGGAAGAAATTGAAACAATTAAAACGGAAACATCAAGTGTACCATTTCCATCCATACCTGACGTTAAACAAAATACAGATGTAATAGAGTCTGATGTTGATCTTCTTAAAAAAGAATTTTCTGAAGATGGCGGGGAAGTTACGAAAGTAGAGAGAAAAGTGAAATTTGTAGAACCAACTAACTCACCTCCAGAAACATTTTTAAAAGAGAGAAGTCCTTCGCCGTTCCCTGAAATACCAGACGTATCCCAAACCCCAGAGATATTCGAAAAACCTCGCAATTTTCCTCCACCAAAACCTGTACGAAAATATGCCCCAGTTTCTATGAAAAAAAAGTATCCACTGCCTACTAGTGAGCCAAAGCGAGAGCCATATTTACCAAAATTTAATCCAACAGAAGATCTAGCACTTGCAGACATAGACAAAAAGGTTGTAGAAAGGACTTATTCTGATACAACAGCGTCTTCGCTTCACACTCTTGCCTCGGAAATATTTACAAGTAAAGGACATTTCGATGCAAGGTCTTGCTCTCCATCAGTTTCCGTATTTGTACCAAAAGAATCTCCAGAAGAAATTGTTAAGGAATCAGAATCGTCCCAGACTGTAATGGTAATAAAAAATCAAGAAGAGGAAGATCGTCAAAAAATCGAAATTCCTCGTCATTTAAAAAATCAACCCCTCCTAAAAATTCAACACCGCTGTTTCGAGGAACTTCAGGATATTAAGGACTGTTACGCTGAAGCTGGCAGGAACAAAGCTGTGTACTGCACAGGAAAAGTGACTCCAATAGTTGTCGACGAGGATGAAATGTCTCAAATATTACAACGAATGAAGAGAGCGCAGGAGGGGTTTTGCGAAGAATCAGACAAAGAAGTTGCAGCTTTTGAAAATTCTAAAGTCCAATACACAAACGAAGAAAACGACCCTCAAACTACGGACTCTTTTAACGTGTCCATTCCTGAATTAAATTACTCTCAAAATGAAATAGAACTTCAATCCGACTTGAGAGACTATCCTTATCATTCACCACTGACTTCCACACACAATGCAGAATTAATTGAAACACAAACGTCTAATGGACAAGAGAAGGAGAAGGAAGCATCTCTTACAAACAATAACCAGGATGACCTCGAAGACTTAAACAGTGTTACGGCAAAATCGCAATATTTTTCAGGCAAAACTGTTACATTTAACGAAGGGGAAATAATTGATGATGCTCCAGTAATCCAATTCAAGGAAAGTACGAATCTAGAACAAACCATGCTCAAAACAGCAGCCACTGACTACCGATCCCGTCTTCATGAAGCAGTTGAAGAACCTCCTAGACCACCAAAGAAGGACATCCGTTCGGAAATACAAAAAGAATTAGCTAATTCTTCCATTAACAACAATTTCGAAACAGTTGAAGAACCAACGTGTAAAAAAAGGCCCGATACTGTCATCGGAGCTAGACCATTATTTGGACAATTGAGTATAAACGAAGAATTCAAGAAAGCGCTTATAGGAAGAAAATCATCTCAAAGAAAGAAGACGTTTCAACAAGCAACCGAAAGAACAAAACCAGCCATTAAGACAGAACGTTCAGAAGAAGAAGCCGAGCAATTGGCACTAGACAATGTTCAAATAAATTCACAATCCAAAACCAAAGAGGTCGCGGAAGTACGAAAGATTGCTCAAACGCTAAATGATGAAATCGAAAAAATCACATATCAACGCGATAGGCAATTTGAAGTCGACATTCAGCAAGTGCAAGAAGAACTGGTGATGCCCGACGGTAAAGTAATTCCGTTGAGCAACAAGGTGATCATTGGACCCAATGCAGAAGAGATATTGAACTATTTTGAGCCTCAATCAAGGGACTATACGAACTCCACAGAGCAAGCCATTCAGAAATATATGAATTCACAAAATTGTAACGACGAGTCAATATCCCATCACAACGGGACTTCTGAAGGAGACCAAACTGACGAAGAATACACCAAAGTGCCAGTTAAGTCACTAATACAAAATTTCGAACAAAACATTTTACCTCCGATGCATTACAAACAAGTACGGAAATCCTTTTCAATACCAAATTTTTCGGACGAAAAAAGTTCTAAAGAAATCAAAACTGTTGAGCGTTGTTCTAAAACGGAAAATGGCCAGGGAACGCACCAACTACACACAAAATCGACTGAAATAGCTCACAAGGATCAGTTTTTGAGACAAGCCGAACAAGAATTTGAAAACCTATATTACGTCTCGAATGCCTACGGGAATTCTAAGTCATCGTCAAATAATTATCATCAAATTCAAGGATTCCAGCAATCGGCAAACAGTTCGTTTTGTAAATACTCAGGAGAAGTGGCCCACACTCAAGAATCCTCCATCACCCAGTCTCAAATGTCCTATCAAATACCGCTTTATGGCAATAATGAACAGCTTTGCATAGAAGGCAAGCAATGCTTTGGTAATAAGCTTCCGTTTTTCTTTTCCCCTTTTTTATTTTCGATTTGTTAACAACTAACAAAACAACCACCAAAACAAAAGATTCTCGAGTAGAATTACGTTTAACTGACGACGTTTCCAATTCAAGTAAGTAGGGTATATCTTCAGTAATGATGAGCAAAATTGATCTTGGTCTTGAGATCTTGGCCTTGGTATTGCATTTTCACAAGACCAAAACGAAGACCGACCTAAGACTAAAACCAAGACCTAATATGTAAGACAAAGACCAAGTTCGTAAGACTGAACCAAAAATTATTATTTCCGGTAGATTTATGAGTTAACCTATTTGAAGTAACTTTATCATCATCATCATAAGGTCGTCAGTCCTAAGACTGGTTGGACACGCACCTCCGCTCCTTCCTGTCCTGAGCTAATCTTCGCATTTCCCTAAAACTGGAGCATCCTACATCCTTGACTATTTACGAACAGTAATCTAATCTAGGTCTACCTCTAATCCTTTTAACTCCTGTTTCTGCCTCCAATATGTCTCTGACTAGACCTTCATGCCTGACAATGTGTCTTACCAACCTATCACGCCTATTTTTTATTGATTTCCATAGAGTCCTCTTCTATTCTTTCTAATACTTCTTCATTTCTAACCTTTTCTATACACGGTATCTTCATTATTCACGTGTAACACCACATTTCGAAGGCTTCTAACCTTTTCTTTTCCGCTGCGCCCACTATCCATGTTTCGCACCCGTACAGCGCCGCGCTCCAAACATATACCTTTAACAATCTTTTTCGAATTTCTAAATTAACCGTTTGCGAGTATAGAAATGACTTCTTTTTATTGAAGACGACACGACCCTGCGCTATCCTCTGCTTTATATCCATATACTACTCCTTCCGTCCTGACTTATCTGACTTCCTAGATACCTAAAATCAGCCACTTCTTCTAATCTCTCGTCTCCTATCTTTATATTCGCCCTTTTCCTACTACTATGATGATGATAGAAGAAATATTAAAAAAAACGTAAATATCAGATTAAATGAGTAAGATCATGACTTATCACACAATACCAAGACCAAGAATAGAAATATTTGAGTTAAACCAAGATCAATACCGAATAAGCAAAAACAAGAACAATACCAATACTGGGACAATCTAGGTCTTGACGTTTTGCTCATTACTACATAATCACAATAACTTTAAAATCCTATTGAGTTAGACCAAGGGAAGCGTCAGCCGTTACCAATAACATAAACAAGAGTCATTCTACTTTAGAACTTTGGGCAATATTCAGAGGGCGATAGATATAAATGGTTCGATTTTGTTAAACTGATACCGACGTTTCTCTTTTCTGTCCGAAGACTTTCTCAAGTCGATAATATCTTGCAACAGGAACATTTTATAGATAGAAAGTAAAATTAGTACAACTAGTATAAATACATTATATTACATTCAATTACCAATTTTCGATCGGTTTAGTTCTATTTGATATAAAGTATGATTAGAATCCATTGAGCTATGTAACTCTAAAATCGTCCATTTGTTTTATCTATTACTTTCTGTATCACACAAAAGCTGCAGCACGAATAACTTTATTCCTGTTTTTACACAATACTAATTAATAGAAAATAAAATTTACTGCACAGTGGCTTCTTCAGGGAAAACTCTAATAGTTGATGAAGTCAAATATTTATTTGATGAAGCAGTAGTATAGCAAATTAATTATCTGTTGCATTTTCGCATCTTGAGTTCCTGTTAATTACTTTTCATTTTTAAAACTGTCCATGTTTGATAAAATAATAATATACCAAAGTTAATACAGGTCCAACTGCATGCTAACATTTTTTATAACATTATATTATATTTAAATAACAGTTGGATAAATAATGGATTAATCAAATTTTCAATTACTCAATTTTTATAATAGTTTTGGTAACAAATTAGCTTCCATTATTGAGGAACTGCAAATATGGTAGCGAAAAACGCAAGGATTTCTATTATATTTGTTGTCCAATTTCGTTCAAATCCCGACGACATAATCTTAAAAATTTTACCACTTCATGGACATAAAAGAAGCTTATTTAGTTCATTATAATTGGAAATTAATATATAAACTATATACTACCAATATATGAGTTATCTTATTAAGTAAAAGTATAAAGTAAAAAACACTTTTATTGGACAAAACCCCCAGCGTGTTACCCTTTTGTTCAAGGGCGTTTTCAAGAAGTACCTGAAGGAATTCATATATTGGACGTACATCGTGGTATTACAAAATTGTATGAAACTTTCCTTCAACATGAGAGTTTTCTCAAAAATGAACTTATTTGCGTTAGTTGAATCAACATCATTAAGACTGAGCTTACATAAAAAATTATTCAATGATTATTTATGTTATAAGTGTTTTATACTGTATATTATTTTAGCTCCAACAGCCCATACACTTCCGAGACAAAACCCCAAGCCTGGCATGGTCCAAACCCCCAGCTACAAGGTAGAAACGCCGCCCTCGGTTTTCATACCCAAAGAAACCGATTTTCCACCCCCTGACTTTCAAAATCACCAAAACATATCAACCCCTGTTTCAGGACCCGTGAGTCCAAGAGTAGATTTAAACAGTCTAAACAATTACAATAGCATACCGAGGGGTTGGGGTAAAGGCAACTATAATTACGGTAGAACACCGCCCGTTTCAGACTTTTAAAAATCTTCGACCATTTTATTACTTACTACTTTTACTTTTTTGATAAGCACTTGATTAAAGGCTTAATTTAAATGCACCACCCTGTTTTGATTTTTCTTTAATCAACATTTTATGATAAACAAACAAATAAATAAATAGATATATGGATATCCGTTTAAAACAACAATAGATATACCTAATAAGTTTAAAATAAATTCGTTGGTAACAATAGATAATACCTCTATCATAAATAAATGTTTTTCTTTAGTTTTCTTTTTCAAAAGTTGCTCATGAATTGTTAGAAACTGTTATTAATTAAGTATCTATAGAATTGTTGTGAATATTGTATTATATTTTAACTCTTATTACTACTAAAGTGTATATGTATTGTCAGTGAAATTAATAATTTTATTAGTCAGTAAATAAACGGCGACTCCCTTATCATTGTTTTTATTCAATTTTTCCACCTATTAAAAGAAATTGGTAAAAAACTTTTTTAAAACGTGAAAACTTTAGAATCATTTCGTTTTATATAAAAGCTATTTAAGGCCTCATAGCCTTTAGATTCAAATAATATTCATTAAAAGTAAACATTTATTTTAAAAACAGGGTTTGCGAATTATTTCATATTTAAAATTTTATCATCTGTTTGAATATTTAACAACTTATTTCAGAGATAAAAGCAGACATTAAAATTGATTAAAGGGCTATTATGCGTAGGCACGAATTTCAAAAAGAAAAAAATGAATATACCATTCATTCCGTAGGAACGAAGATGAAAAATAAATTGTTCTCAAAATTTCACTGTGATAGTTAATGCTATTATAAATTTAAATTTTTTACTATTCATAAGGTATCTATGGAAGATATTTCATTTTTTCTACGCGCAGTGGCTACAGCAACAGGTATTTAAAATATCCTACCTTTTTTCCCACTTCCCTTCCCAATAAACGTGTATCCCTCTTCCGGGCCCATTAAGTTTGCTTGTTGTAAATTATCGTATCATTCTTTTTATATCACTCTATTAGCTTTTCCCCATTCTCGTCTATACAACTACCCCTTGATTGCCTTTCCCAATTCTTATCCCCCACTAAACAACACCCTTCTCTTCCTACTCTCATGTTACAGTCCCCCCCGCTCTCATAAGATTGCTATTTTTTACATTCTCTATCTTATTCTTTATTGTTTCTAACTTTCCACNAACTGAAATGCAAATAAATATTCAATAAAAATTGCTACATTTTCTATAAAATTTATTTAATCTTACTAAATTTTGTAATGAAATTCACGAAGTTGTTATTGTAAATATTTCATGCAAATTCTATGGAATTTGTCTTAGCCCCTGTCGATATTTCTCCACAATTTACCACTACAATTTTATAGTCAAATTTAAGTTTACCATTGGTTAACCTTACCCCTTATCATTGTTTTTATTCAATTTTTCCACCTATTAAAAGAAATTGGTAAAAAACTTTTTTAAAACGTGAAAACTTTAGAATCATTTCGTTTTATATAAAAGCTATTTAAGGCCTCATAGCCTTTAGATTCAAATAATATTCATTAAAAGTAAACATTTATTTTAAAAACAGGGTTTGCGAATTATTTCATATTTAAAATTTTATCATCTGTTTGAATATTTAACAACTTATTTCAGAGATAAAAGCAGACATTAAAATTGATTAAAGGGCTATTATGCGTAGGCACGAATTTCAAAAAGAAAAAAATGAATATACCATTCATTCCGTAGGAACGAAGATGAAAAATAAATTGTTCTCAAAATTTCACTGTGATAGTTAATGCTATTATAAATTTAAATTTTTTACTATTCATAAGGTATCTATGGAAGATATTTCATTTTTTCTACGCGCAGTGGCTACAGCAACAGGTATTTAAAATATCCTACCTTTTTTCCCACTTCCCTTCCCAATAAACGTGTATCCCTCTTCCGGGCCCATTAAGTTTGCTTGTTGTAAATTATCGTATCATTCTTTTTATATCACTCTATTAGCTTTTCCCCATTCTCGTCTATACAACTACCCCTTGATTGCCTTTCCCAATTCTTATCCCCCACTAAACAACACCCTTCTCTTCCTACTCTCATGTTACAGTCCCCCCCGCTCTCATAAGATTGCTATTTTTTACATTCTCTATCTTATTCTTTATTGTTTCTAACTTTCCACTCTTTTCTTCCTTTTCCAACCCCTCTATCATTACCACTCCCTTATGCAATTCTTTGACTTTTGCCTTCAAACCATTTTTTAACCCCACATTCGACCCTCCCTTAGCCCTGACCTTTTCTTCTGTCTTTACTGCCTCAAATAATTCCCTGACTGTATAGTTACCTACATAAGGACTACAAATACTTGCGGGGTGGTATTTAGTTAACCAAATTGAAGTTAATAACTCCCCTCTGTTGAATTTATTTTAACTAAATACCACCCCACCTTCCCAAAGTAGTATTTATAGTACATAATAAATAATTCACCTAGATATTACAATCAGTAGCAAACCCCTACTCAATTCGTCCGAAGAAACAAAAAAGCTTCCGTAAAACAAGTGTTTTACATGCATATATTAATAATAAATGTAATGGTTAATATTTTTTTTACATATACATATATATTCCTTACCTTTATGTCTAAAATTGTAGTAATAATAAACGCATTTTAATTCAAGTCTCTGATTAATTACCACGCACGACACCATCTTCACTACTAAATATACACGTCTATCAAATGTTATAACTCTAGTGACAAACACTATCCTGGTGAAAGTCTTCGAAAGATACCAGTTATTACCAGATCAGTCGAGCATGCTCATTGTCGTACAGTTTTTTTTTTATAGTAAAAAGCTGTTATTTCTTCGCAAACTAATGCACACAAATATAACAAAGGAATTCGCTTTTATCAGGGCAAAGGTAATCTCCACCGACTTTATACAATATAATATTATTACTTCGATAAATAAAACATTTAAGGTATGTTGTAGTGGATAATAGAAAGTAAAATAAAGTTTTTATTCTATAACAAAGAGTCATATTAAAAAGAAAATGAGACAAAACTTGTATTTACAAATATTACAAACGTTATAAGTAGTATTATAATTTTACCCAGTGGGTAAATTAACTTCATTCAACCCATCACGTATTATTGTCCTTAGTTACATCTATTTGTTTTTTATTACATCAAATATTTAATATATGTTGGTTCAAAAACTTTGTAATTTGTGGCATTTACTCCAATAGTGACTTTCTTTCCTAAAATACCCTCATCAAACATCGTCTTAAAACCGTACGAATGCGGAACGAAAGGTGGCCTGTCGTCAACCACCGGTGGCTTTTGCTTCGATTTTCTAGCTTTCATAGGAATAAAATAGGGAGGAAATGATTCAAAACACCCATCATGGAATCCGCCTTGCTATAATTCAATTAAAGGGTCAACAAAAAAAACAATAAATAATATCTACTTAGTTAAATAAGAAACAGACCCATTTGGACGGCCCCACAGGAATCCATCGTCCATCTCCAATTATGGTATACTCTCTCATTTTTGGTCTAACATAAACAGGACCCGGTTTTCCTTTGGGATCTATGTAAGGGTTGTCGTCGAAATATGGACTGGGATAGATGACCGTTCTCATAGGCTGGGAATGGAACACTATGGGTATTGGCTTGGCACCCTTTTTCATTTCTTTGGGCCTCGGAGGGTAAGGTTCAGGCCTATGGAAGTAAAATGAAACATGTCTACTACTTCGCGAGATATTAATCAAAAGAACACAAAATACAAAATCACCATGTGCCCAACAACGCCAAATTTTTATGAATATCGAACATACAACACTTATATAAAGAGATATTTATGTTCGATTCTAAGACTACGAGGCAGTGGCGGATCTTACACTTTCGGGACCCGATGCATAAGTGTTTATGGGGGCTTCTTTCAAATGGAAGAAATGAAAGGTAAAACGGGGCCACCTACGGGGCACCATGAGTCGAAGTCTGAAGCAGACTGCACTCAGAGAAATCTGTAGAGCAAACTTCTACAATTTTAGAACTTTTCATCACAAACAGAAACAAGTTGTAGCGGAAATTAATATCATATTGTAATTACTTTTTTCCTACAAACTGTTTGTCTCTCTACTACAACGTTAATGAATAGGTACTAATTCCTCTTAAAAATTACTTTTCAATGTAGCACATCTCTATACAATAATTAAAAAGAATGGGGTTAGGTATGCATGTTTCTGAGACAGAACAGAAAACTGAAATGCAAATAAATATTCAATAAAAATTGCTACATTTTATCTTTATATTTTCTACAAAATTTATTTAATCTGATTACATTTTGTAATGAAATTCACGAAGTTGTTGTTGTAAATATTTCATTCAAATTGTAAGGAATTCGTCTGAGCCTCTGTCGATATTTCTCCTACAATTTGCCACTACAATTTTATAGTCAAATTTAAGTTTACCATTAATTAACTTTACTACAAATTTGAGTTGCNGCGTTTAAACTCCTTATCAAAATAACACCACCCTAAAGCATCCTTTATTTTTGGTCCATCGGCTAACATCCTTTTAGCTCCACGTTGTCCTGTATTAGAATAATTATTTACATTTTGATCTACTTTACTATTAAATTTTCAAAGTTCTCAGACCTAACTCTAATCCAAGGCAAAATGTTTAATATCTTAAAAGCTAAGTATTAAACTTACTTAATGATGGAGTTTGATATTTGCCCAATATGTAAGGCATTTCGATAAATAGCCCCAGGCGCTCCAAATCAGGTTTCCCATGCTTTTGGGCATATTCCTTCATGTTGGATTTTCTCCAAGCAGCCATTCTAAAGGTTAATAATGTAAAAATAAGGGGATTCTATTATAAACTTGACAATAAATTTTAATGATTATCCAGAATGTTGTAGTAACAAAACTGCATCAATCAGATATTGAAGGTTATTATTTTTGTAAATGGAACTTGTCAAATAAACAAGGATTACTAGTAAAATTAATAAACTTGTATGTATCAAAATCCAAACAAGAATAATATAATTTATTGTTGAGCTACATTTTTAATTAGAAAATAAAATCATTACAATGTGCCTATTCCAATAATACAATATTAATTTTCACTGCACATAAATATTCATACAATTATGCAAATATTACAATTATTACTGTCTGCATTTAATATACGATAAATAATTTCAATGGTATAAAATAATTATGATAATGATAAAAGTTTGTCGATTCTATTAGTGATTAATTAACTTTTTCGTGTTTATTCCTATTCCTTTGTTTTTTAATAAAAAAATACATAAAAAATCTAAAAATTCCTCTTAAAAATTACTTTTCAATGTAGCACATCTCTATACAATAATTAAAAAGAATGGGGTTAGGTATGCATGTTTCTGAGACAGAACAGAAAACTGAAATGCAAATAAATATTCAATAAAAATTGCTACATTTTCTATAAAATTTATTTAATCTTACTAAATTTTGTAATGAAATTCACGAAGTTGTTATTGTAAATATTTCATGCAAATTCTATGGAATTTGTCTTAGCCCCTGTCGATATTTCTCCTACAATTTACCACTACAATTTTATAGTCAAATTTAAGTTTACCATTGGTTAACCTTACTACAAATTTGAGTTGCATTTTCTACAAAACGACCTCTACAACGTTGTAGTAATATTTCATAGAGCATTTTTCTGAGTGTATGGTACCTTTGCACTGTAATGAGCGAAATTTCGCGTGTCCAAATATGAAAATTGGTTAAGAAGAAGCTAAAAGTTCATAATCAAACTGAATCTCCACCTTGTCTTCAAACGCCCACCTCCTCGATAACCACGTCATCTAAAATTCTGACTTTGCTAGTAAAATGAACTTGCAAACAAAAAACACCTTTAAGCTCCCAAAGCACGACAATGACCATTTGAAATATATTCAAAGTTGCTTACAAATGTTCAGGCCACTTGCTGAAACATATATCGGCATAGCCTGGTCCGCCCTTTTTGCCAGGATTCGTCATCATATTCCCTTTTACTTTTTTTTCCTCTTTTTTCGGTTTCTTTGGTACCCTCGATCTCCAATCAACAGCTTCCATTATGCCGGCAAACGTTCCCCATTGTTCGCCGCTCCCGTGTAACTTTTTTGGGGCTGCAGGAGGCATGTAAATTGGCTTTTTGTCGTCCCTATGTATTACATAGAAAATAATAAACTAAACAAAATTCGAAATATGCAGGTACAATATAATTACGAGGGCGGTTCAATAAGTACAAGTGTTTGAAGACAGAGGATGTTCCTGAGGGAAATTAGTGTTATCATCGTGTGCTGCCATCTATCAAACCACGTCAAAACGATTTTCAGACTGATAGGTTAGTTTGGATTTGGTAGCCATTCGACTGAGACGTGTTTCGTTATTTTCGCTAAGATGGAAAAAGAGCAGTATCGTTCCTAACTCGCTTTTTGTTTTCGGATGGGAAAAAATGCGAGGAGATGAAAACAAAGTTGGATACTGTTTATGGAGACATTTCGCCATCTACGACCACAGTTAGATATTGCTTCAACGAATTTAAACGTGGGCAAAGATCCGTTTTTGATAGGAGCGACCAGGAAGCCTGGCAAACGTTGTTACCGAGGAAATCATTTTACGGATTTTTTAGGAAAAGGAAGAACGATCACTGGACAATACTACAGTGAGTTATTGGACCGCTTCGACAAAAAATTGAAGGAGACACGGACGCATTTGACGAAAAAGAAGGTGCGTTTTCAACACGATAACGCACCGGCACATTCATCAGGAGTTGTTGCCGCCAAAATGCATGAATTACGTTATGAATTTGCTGCCGCACACCCCGTACTCACTCGATTTGACTCCCTGCGACTTCATCTTGTTCCCTACCATGAAGAAATGACTAGCGAGAAAGAAATTTAGCTCAAACGAGGAAGTCATCGCCGAGACAGGGGGGATTTTGGAGAGTTCGACAAATCTTATTTTTTGGAGGGGTAAAAAAAATGGCAGGGTCGTTGGGAGAAGTGTATCTTTCTAAAAGGGGACTATGTTGAAAAATAAAAAAACAAATTTTTAAAAAAAAGGTGTCTTCATTTCTAACACGGGTACTTATTGAACCGCCCTCGTATAATAAATTATAATATCATTTCCAAAAGTAATCATTGTATACATCTCTTAATCTTACTCTTTCTTCTTCGGTTTCTTTCGCCTTACAATTGCTTCTCCTGCGAAAATGCGTTTAAACTCCTTATCAAAATAACACCACCCTAAAGCATCCTTTATTTTTGGTCCATCGGCTAACATCCTTTTAGCTCCACGTTGTCCTGTATTAGAATAATTATTTACATTTTGATCTACTTTACTATTAAATTTTCAAAGTTCTCAGACCTAACTCTAATCCAAGGCAAAATGTTTAATATCTTAAAAGCTAAGTATTAAACTTACTTAATGATGGAGTTTGATATTTGCCCAATATGTAAGGCATTTCGATAAATAGCCCCAGGCGCTCCAAATCAGGTTTCCCATGCTTTTGGGCATATTCCTTCATGTTGGATTTTCTCCAAGCAGCCATTCTAAAGGTTAATAATGTAAAAATAAGGGGATTCTATTATAAACTTGACAATAAATTTTAATGATTATCCAGAATGTTGTAGTAACAAAACTGCATCAATCAGATATTGAAGGTTATTATTTTTGTAAATGGAACTTGTCAAATAAACAAGGATTACTAGTAAAATTAATAAACTTGTATGTATCAAAATCCAAACAAGAATAATATAATTTATTGTTGAGCTACATTTTTAATTAGAAAATAAAATCATTACAATGTGCCTATTCCAATAATACAATATTAATTTTCACTGCACATAAATATTCATACAATTATGCAAATATTACAATTATTACTGTCTGCATTTAATATACGATAAATAATTTCAATGGTATAAAATAATTATGATAATGATAAAAGTTTGTCGATTCTATTAGTGATTAATTAACTTTTTCGTGTTTATTCCTATTCCTTTGTTTTTTAATAAAAAAATACATAAAAAATCTAAAAACGAATTTAAGCAACATTATAGCCATTATAAAACATATCAACAAGAATAATAAAATATCTAGTGCCAAATACTGGATCCAATTCAGGTCGATTGCTTCTGAACGAAAATAGGGAGCTCCCCGGTGACGTAATACGTACTCAATCCACCATAGGGCTTTGTCAAGGGGTTTTATAGGCCGCTCTTTAATAACTTTTGAAATTTTAATTACACTTTCTTTATATCTAAAATAAAAATGTTCTCAATTTCTTATATTCATATCTGATATTAAAAAAAAAATACTTTGTGTTCTTGATGACATGAAGGACTTTAGTTAAAAATTCTTTTTCCGTAACAGTTACGTAATCTACCATTAAACCTATTCCAAGTTTTTCCATTCTTCTGGCATTCACATACTGATCGGCAAATAATGGTACTGCAATCACTGGTACGCCACTGTATACAGTCTCTTCAAAGGACAAATATCCACCATGGGTAATAAACAATTTAATGTTATGATGTTCTAAAATGGTTTGCAATAAAACCTTTTACTACAAAATACGTAAAAGTCCTATTTTTACCTAATATCAATTCATAATTTATTGATAATAGTTAAATTAATTAGGGGAGGTCATTATAGCATTGCAGGTAACAATAGAGAAAACGATAGAAAAAGGAAAGAGTGCGTACATAGGATTTGTAGATTTACAAAAAGCTTTTGACAATGTTAAATGGGACAAGATGTTAAATATACTTAAAAATGTAGGGATGAGTTACAGAGATAGAAGAGTGATACTTAGTTTGCATAAAGAGCAACAGGAAGTTATATAGCTGGAGCGGCAACCTAGAGAAGTAAATATTAGGAAGGGAGTCAGACAGGGATGCACACTGTCATCGCTACTTTTTTTTTACTCTATACATCAAAAACGCGATCAACATCATTAAAGACAGTACAACTGTATAAATTGATATACAGGGGCAAAAGATCAGATATGACTGTATTAGCACATAGCAAGGAGGAGTTAGAGTTTGCTTTAAATAAAATGGAAACGGCATTGCCAAAAAAAGTACTGTATGAAAATAAATAAAAGTAAAACAAAAATACTGGTATGTAAGGGAAAAAAAGTAGGGAAAGAGTGAATATAAAGATAAGAAACGAAAAATTAGAATTTAATCTTTGCAATAGACAGTTACAGTCTATTTCAATTTGTTAGAATTGTGACCTTGAAGAAATCTGCGCGAAGATAGAAAGAATACACACTAGGCGTAAGCAAGACAGAAATAGTTGGAACAAGCTTGAACGAGCCGAGCTCTCGATGGGCGGTTTTAGGAGATCGGTTAGAACAGTACAGTACTAGACGAAATTGTTTAGCAATTTCTTAAAACAAAAATGTATATAAATTAACAATAGAAAACAAAGCAAAAGTTTTATAGGTGTGTAGAACGTTAAGTTAATTCACTTATTTTTGTTATTTTTGCTAAATATGCTTTTAAATAAAGCATATTCTTAAATTTTAACGAGGCAGTTTAAATAATTTTGCAAATGGTACTGTACACTTTTGTCTAGTTCTCGCTCGATAATCAGTGGAGAAATGAGCTCCGCAGACAAATATGATTGAATTTGGAATTATGCTACGGCGCATCCTAATAAAAGGAAGGGGCAAACTTCTTGAAACAACATTACGAATGTATTTTTAATAAGTAAATAAATAAAATTAAAAATATTTCATTTTACCCAGCACTGCCACTTGAGGAGCCCACTTTAAAATACGAACGTTTTTGGACAAATTATCAGAAGGCCCATTCCATTTCCAAACAATATTATACGGTAAATTTCTGAAAGTATAATTTAACACATCGATGAATCTTTTATTTATTCTGGTACCGTTCGTGGTGGTTCCCAAGGACACAAAAATAATCCCGTTCATGCTTTCGTCGAGAAACTGTTTTAATTCTTCGGAGTAATTTTTGGACACTTGATCCAAATGAATCCCTCCAATCTCTACAACCGCCGGTACAAGAGGCCTAACACCGTTTAAAATTGGATCGGTATTCAGCAAAATCAAGCTCAAATTCTTCTCAGCTTCCAAAACAGTTTGACTCGAATTTGGAAAATATTTTTTAGCCAATTCGTTCGTTGCTGGAACGGTGTGCAAATAGAAATATATCCTGTACAAAAATCCGAAGATGAAATTGTCGACTTTTTTCCAAAATCTATTCTTTATATTCTCGTAATGCCCTATAGATATGTAGGCTGGATTTGTGGGGTTGCCAATGACGTCATGATTATGTAATTTTAATGCTACTGAACGAACTCCCACAACAGGACATTTCAGTCGGTTCCCGAGCAAAGAAAAGATTGTACTTGCACCCATTTCTACCAGTACCAAATCGAACTTTTCATCTTTATTGTTCAGTATATCTTGCATTTGGGGTAACTTCAAAACATCTTCGGTAACAGCGCGAATTCCCATTTCCTGTAGATGTAAAATCAATAGTCGTGGATATCGATACGAGTTTTCATAATCGTTGTTCACGACGTAATTGTAGAGGAAACTAATATCGATTTCGGTTAAGTTAACCAATCGATTGTCTTTTAAAGGATGAACGGTGAATTGTACAACTTGATGCCCTCTTAAAGACAGTTGTTTCGTTAGAATGTTATGTATGAGTTGGTGACTATAAGAAGGGTAGGCGCAAATTGACAATATTCGCGCTCCATCTGTACAACTTAATTTTAACAAAAACAAAAGTAACACAACGTACTTTTTACACATTTTGTATAATACTAAACTATATCCAAATCATAATTAGGATAACCCTGGGCTCTTGTAGTCGTATCAGTATAGTTAATGCTTACATGCTATTTTAGCAAACTTTACAATTTTTGCAGATAAAAAGAGTTGTTCTTGATAAAATTATACTTTTGTTTAGTACAGATAATGTCAAATAATAAGTAAATAGTTGTATAAGTATAAATATATTTTTATATTAACTGGAAATCATATATAGGTATAGCTATGCAACAAACATTTTTTATAAAAAGTCTCTTAAAAACTCATCGATATTAGAAATGTCTATTCATAAATATTGCAAATCTATGTGGGATTTTATAAAGAAGACATTGTTGTTTCTAGATCGTGATCGTGAAAGACCCACGTACCAATTAAGGGTTAATTGAGGAGTAACTACAAAAAAATACACGTTTATACTCCTTTTTATTGCCCTATCATTAATACGAATCCTGTGGCTGCTTGTTTTAACCCAGGAATCATAATTTGGTGCATGTGCAGATGAAGATAGTGATAATAAATCTTCAATGTGAGAGTCAGTTAACTTTAAATATGAAACAATTGATTCACATAAATATAACGATCTAAAACAAGAATAAAATTCTCTATATTCGATGATACTTAGATATTTCCAAAAAAGTCCCTTGCTGTTGACTTTAAAAATTATATGAATTTGTAATGTTACAATTTCATTTTTGACCGCCTTCTTTTCCTTATGAAAGATGTTTTGAAAAATTCTTTTTTGAATAAATAAGGAAACTGCACATCTTTAATAAGATACTTTATATTTTTGCAGGGTTAATTCAATGTATTACTGAATTAATTTTTGAACTAATTTTGTGTGTACAATTAATTCAGAAATTGATTCACTAATACATTGCATCTCTTTACATTTTTCACCTATTGAATATCTGCAACGTATTTCTTCACATGTTATAACAATTTAGATAGCCCACATTTGATTGAAAAATGATTTAAATTAATTCTTAACTATAAATTTTTAGTCACTTAATTTCGATGGAAAATCTGTACGTATCGCTAAATCCATCATCTGAATACAAATATTCGCTCTTACATTTACACATTTGTTATCTCTTCCATTTAGAAAAATTACAATTATCTCTAATCGATTATGATCGACCAGCAATTGCTTTACGATCGGACAGTCGATCGCGATCGACGTGTTGGTCAAACCTGCCCCAGGAAGTGATCAGAGTAGACAGAATTTACACCAACCATATTTTGAAGAAAGTCATGTAACAACCTGATAATTTAACGTGCTACTTCGTATTTTATAATTACTATTAGACAAATTAGTGTACTTACAGAAAATGCTTGAAATACATCCACATTTTCTTGATTTTGAGACGAAAATTAAACCCTGTTGATTCTCGTTTTTTCTTCCTGAAAAAGTAATAGCACAAAACGGAAAACAACAGCGAGATTAAAACATACAAAAACTTTATTTTGATTGAAGTTTTCACAATTCAAAAATGTAAAACTATCATTAAAATTCGTACAATTCTATTATATTACAATTGCGTTATGGTACACATTTACAAATAAATTAAGTTAATCCTTAAAGCTATCAGAAAGTAGAGTCAAAAGTTTCACAGCCTTTACACTAAATTCTACTTGTTATCGCTTACAAACGCCTTCACTATTTCGTTAATACTTTCGTACGTTCCTGTAATACATCCCAAGATTCCGACGGCAAGAATAAAGATATTTTTCGACAACGTCCACGGCGTTACTTCGGATACACTACAACTGATCACCATGTCCAGGATGGGAGGTATGATAAGAGCCAGGGCAGTACTGCTGACGGCTCCCACCAACGATATAAAAAGATTCAAGTACGGGATGGCTTCGGCAAGAACAACTGTAAAAACGTAAATCAATTACCAAAAGTACTTTGCTTCTTCGATTTGATTGGTGATTCATCGAGATCGCCTCTAGCGTGCTGATGAGAACGAAATCAGGATCAACGCCTATACCCTGTTCACGACCGACTCAAAACAAACATGAACGCGTAGTATCTATCAAATCGCGAAACAAAACAAAACGTGAAGTACTGTTGAACAAAATTGGTTTTTGTCCTGCAGTTTTGGTCTTGTAAATACCAAGACCAATACTAACACTGGAACAGTCTTGGTCTTCGTCTTGCTTTATTCATTACTAATGTGAAGAATGTATCAGTAGGTACCTAAAAATGGCCCTAATTTCTACTTTATATAGGGTGTCCCAGTTATAATAATTAAAAAAAAAATTATAAAATTATAACAGTTTTGATGCCGGCCCTGCACAATCGCAAATTAATTACGATTGTCAGCTGATAGTAGAAAAATTCACCTTCAGTAGGTCGGAATCAGCTGCTTTTTGGGGTGATGTTATTGTTTATGTTTGGTATTAAGTTACGGATCAGCCGAAGAAAATGCACTCGCGATAAGGTCCATTAGATGACTGAACATGTTAGAAAAACTACGTATCTATCACAATAGAAAATCCTATGATCGTAAACTCAAGTGGACCTAATGTAGCCCATGACGTCGAGTATTATGTTATTTTAAATAGAAAAGAAATTATAACGACTACGGAATAGTTAGAAGCGGTGCACAAACAACCCTGGGCACCCAGCGTTTGGTAAAGGTTTTATAAGATAACGTACTAGTGTACGAAAACAAATGCATGTGTTATAGTTGTAAAAGTTGAGATAAGATGCAGACCTACTTTGACCAATCACATTGTGTCAAACGTTAGTGTTCCTGGCAGGGCTCATTAACCCCACGTGGAGTAATACAAGGGTGTGTCCAGAAGGACCAAGTTGGTTATTTTGTTTTCATTGAATGTAAAAAGATAAATATTGATATAACCTCGTATAATTACACTGCTGGAAGTGACTGGAATAAATGTCGTAGTTTCTAACAGGTTGTTCAGTTTGCTTTGGATTGTTGAGGAATTTAGTTGTTTGTTAGTGTTAGTTTATTTATTTAGTGGAGATTTTATAAAAGACTATTACAATAAGGGTAATTAGTAGTGTGATAGTACATTCTAGTAGGGTTCTTATTCAACCGTCAGTTGGTGGTGAGTTACATTACCAATGCCTATCGTATAATTCGAAATATTCCCTGTATCTGGGCCAAAATTCGCAGCAACTGGGTACGCCGCTGTCAGTGTTGCATTGAAGCGAATTTCAACATTTTTTATGAAAGGTACGCTTTTCGTTTTCACTTTTACCTTTTTTTACAAGGTGGAAGTGCATTCGGCGTCTTCCCGATAGTTACTTGTTACATCCACACTAGATCAGTTGAGCGACGTCAGTCGCCTAGATCCAGGCCCGTAATGAAACAAATTGTACGTTCAAATTTACAAAGACGATTTGCGAGCTCAATTGTTACTGGATTAAAAAAATTTATAACACTTTTTTGTAGTATTTTGTGTCAGGAAGCCATAGTTTTTTTTTAATTATTATAAATGGGACACCCTGTATGTTTTGCAACACAAAAATGATGCAGTTCTAAGATAAATGTATAGAACTCCTATTGGTCTTCCTAATCGCTTAATTTCGCACCAATTGTATCATAACAACCTTTTTTTTAATATTAAACGACAAATTTTAAATGTCTTTTGTTTTTAGGGTGGTAAAAATGGTAAGGTAATTAAAAAAAAAACTTACACGTAAGTAATACAAATAAGGCTCGGAACGACAATTCAGCAAAAATTGGAAATTTGAACGGTCCAAGCGATTCATTAACCGGTGGCCACATTATGTCAATCGGAATATAAAACTGAAGTGCATAAGAAAGAAGAATTCCCAACGGAATGATAACTTTCACAGACTGTGCTAAACTGTAACAAAAACACACAATAAAAAAAATATTAAATACAAAAATTGTTTCGTTAAAAAGCTGCAGGTAAGTACAAAACTCACATTTCGTCTTCTGGCAGATTCAAGGTGATACTTCCCGCTACGTCTTCGCCATATTTTAAATATCCTAGGAAACCCACAGTAAAATATAAAAATGTCACTATAGTCATACCTAAATTTAGTACCCCGAAGGGACGTGGAAACTGATTTGGCTTTTTCATTTCATTTTGAAGAGGCAAAACCTAAAATTAAATTTCCAATTTTTAGCTTTCAGTTTTCAATTTCTCATTTTAAAACAAGAAATACGACCCAAAATCCCAAACAAAAATGTTTAAGAAAGCTACATCGCTAAAATTCCACTTAAAAATATGTTAAAGCCAATTTGTAGGTAAACAATCAGATCCTTGAAAACAATTGTTGTTTTTGATTAGATACTAAATATCTATAGTCATTAAAACTGGCTCTACCGTTAGAATAAAAATAAAAAATACAACGTGTAATTATACAAGACGCTACTGAAGTGAAACTTCTTCAAGCACACAAACATACCGGGATAGGGGTTAAGGAATTGGTTTAATGGTATTATTTGTACACTATGCTTCGCACGGGTGCAATGCTGATAGTAAATATACTATAGAATGTCTTTATATACAACAATCACAGCTTTTTTGTCATTAGACAATACAAACCGGCCGGTACCGCCGCAACCGCTATGTCCCTGCATTTTAAGTCTGTAATATCTTC